GGCTGAAGAGCTGAGGGACAGCGCCCAGGCCCAGAGTTCAGGCCCCATGACTGGACCCAAAAAAAAAAAAAAAAAAAAAAAATTTCCACCAACATATACTGTACACAGGAGTAGAGGCAAAGAAGAGGAATTTAAATGAATTTACTACTCAACTCATATTGTTTCCCTTCCATCCACATCTTGTTTGTTTTTAGTTTTCTAGCTTCTTTGTTTACCTTTTTGCACCAAAAAACCTTGCTGGGTGCTGGTGGTTCATGCCTAAAATCCTAGCTACTCAGGAAGCTGAGATCTGAGAATCATGATTCAAAGCCAGCTTTGTACACAAATCCCAGGACTCTTATTTCTAATTAGCCTGCAAAAAGTAAGAACTGAAATGGTAGATTTCCAGTTGTGAAGGAAACGGCTGAGTGACAGCAAGAGGCCAGGCATGGGTGGCTATTGCCTGTAATCCTGGCTACTCTGGAGGCTGAGATTTGAGGATCATGATTCAAAGCCAGCCCAGGCAGGAAAGTCCATGAGATTCTTTTGTTTGTTTGTTTGTTTTTGTTTTGTTTTGTTTTTTGGTCCGGTTGTGGGGCCTGAACTCTGGGCCTGAGCACTGTCCCTCAGCTCTTCAGCTCAAGGCTAGTGCCCTACTACTTAAGCCACAGCGCCACTTCTGGCTTTTTTCTTTTTGCTTATGTGGTGCTGAGGAATCGAACCCAGGGCCTCAGGCGTGAAAGGCAAGCACTCTACCACTGAGCCAACTTCCCAGCCCCAAGATTTTTTTTTTTTTTTTTTGGTCGGCTGAGGGGCTTGAACTCTGGACTTGGGCGCTGTCCCTCAGCTCTTCAGCTCAAGGCTAGCGCTCTACCACTTGAGCCATAGCACCACTTCCGGCCTTTTTTTTCTTTTTGCTTATGTGGTGCTGGGGAATCGAACCCAGGGCCTCAGGCATGCAAGGGAAGCACTCTACCACTGAGCCACCTTCCCAGCCTCCATGAGATTCTTATCTCCAATTAACCACCAGAAAACTGGAAGTGGCGCTGTGGCTCAAGTGGTAGAGCTCAAGCCTTGAGCTGAAGAGCTGAGGGACAGCCCCCAGGCCCAGAGTTTAAGGCCCAGAGTTTAAGCCCCACGACCAACAGAAAAAACAAAAACAAAAACACAAAAACACCATTTTTTTCTTGATCTTTTGGAAATAAACTGTAGATGTCATACTACTGTACCCCAAATATTTTAGCATGTATTTCCACTATGTTTTATTTATTTTTCACATAGAAAAATTGTGTATATTTATATTAGCATGTATTTCTACTAAGTGTTTTATTTATTTTTCACATAGAAAAATTGTGTATATTTATAGAGTTTCAATATGGGTATGAATTCAATGTGTTCAAATCAGGATAAACATCTATTTTCTTAAATATTCAACATTTCTTAGTCAGGTGCCGGTGGCCCACGCCTATTATCCCAGTAACTAGGAGGCTGAGATCTGAGTATCACGGTTTGAAGCCAGCCTGAGCAGGAAGGTCTGTGAGACTCTTATCTCCAGTTAACCACTCAAAACCTGGAAATAGAGCTGTGTCTCAGGTGTACAGGGCTGTGAACAAAAGAGCTCAGGGACAGGGCCTAGGCACTGTGTTCAAGCCCCATGACAATAAATAAATAAATAAATAAATAAAATTTCTTCTAGCTTTTTTTTTTTTTTTGGTCAGTCATGGGGCTTGAACTCTGGGCCTGGGCACTGTCCCTCAGCTCTTCAGCTCAAGGCTAGCACTCTACCACTTGAGCCACAGTGCCACTTCCAGTTTTCTGGTGCTTTATTGTAGATAAGTCTCACGGCCTATCCTGCCCCGGCTGGCTTTGGACCGTGGTCCTCAGATCTCAGCCTCCTGAGTAGCTAGGATTACAGGTATGAGCCACCGGTGCCTGGCTCTTCTAGTTTTTGTATATATGTTCTCACACATGCACGTTCGGGTGTGCTTGTCCTGGGATTTGAACTCAGGTACTGGGTACTGTCCCTGAGCTTTTTGCTCAAATCTAATGTTCTACCGCTTGAATCACAGCTAGATCTCAGCCTCCTAAGTAGCTAGGATTACATGTGTGAGCCACTGGTGCCTGGTCTTTTTTTGTGCGTGTCATTTTTGTTAAGTACATGTTAATTGTTCCAACAGGTTTCACCATGGTACCTCATGCATACCCCCTTTCATACACACACATACATGCATGATCCTGTATGTGTTTATGCATGCTTATATTTTAGGTCTAACATCCACATTATGAGAAAACCTGACCATTTGTCCTTGTGAACCTGGTTTCCTTCATTTAATAGGATGGCTTCCAGACTCATTGATTTTCCTGATGGGTCCACCTTAATCCAACTTTCACATTTGACTTTTCCTGCACAATTCAGATAATAGGATTTTGGGTTTCAAGTCCATAAAAGTTGAGGTCTATATTAAAGTATGCAAGTGCTCAGTGGTGAAGTATCTGATTTCTAATTGTGGGCAAGTCTTGGATTTTAATTTCTGTTCCTCCCCATAAAAACTGACAAACAACAGTTTACTTTCACAGTTATTGTATCTTCCAGATCAACAAATATTCCCAGGATAAAAACTGTATTGAATTCTGGGATTACTCTGGATTTTAGATCCTAAATGTTGACCTAGTAATTAGTTCTAGCTTTGCAATGATTTTAAGATTTTCATTTTCACTTTCTGTTTTAGTTTGTCTTAAAGTGGGAGACTAGAATCAAACGCCTAATCAGTAATCCTCCTGGCCTAACTACCTGAATGTAATATTAAGTAGGAACATCTCAGAGGACTCACTAACTTGCATTTATAATTCTCCCTGCCCCTAAATGCATGTAGAGCAAAAAATGGACCATAACCAAATCTCATCTCATGATTTACAGAAACCTCTCTTGTGCCCCCTGGTGGAAGAATTTCTCCTTTGGAGTCTAAAGCCAGAGCCCAGAGATGCAGAAACAGAATACATTTCCCAAGAGTCATTATTTTTATTTTATTTATTTATTTATTTTTGGGTCTGGTCGTGGGGCCTGAACTCTGGGCCTTGGCGCTGTCCCTCAGCTCTTCAGCTCAAGGCTAGCGCTCTACCACTTGAGCCACGGCGCCACTTCCGGCTTTTTTCTTTTCTTTTTTTTAACTGTATTTTTTTTTTGTCTTTTCTTTTTTGGTACTGGGGATCAAACCCAGGACGTTGCACTTGCTAGGCAAGTGCTTTGCCACTGAGCTACATCCCAGCCCCCGGCTTTTTTCTTTTTGCTTATGTGGTGCTGAGGAATTGAACCCAGGGCCTCAGGCATGCAAGGCAAGCGCTCTACCACTGAGCCACCTTCCCAGCTCCCAAGAGTCATTATTTTAGATTATAAGAGTGCCCCTCGCCGGGCGCTGGTGGCTCACGCCTGTAATCCTAGCTACTCAGGAGGCTGAGATCTGAGGATCGCGGTTCAAAGCCAGCCCTGGCAGGAAAGACCGTGAGACTCCTATCTCCAATAAACCACCAGAAAACCGGAAGTGGCGCTGTAGCTCAAGTGGTAGAGCGCTCGCCTTGAGCTGAAGAGCTGAGGGATAGCGCCCAGGCCCAGAGTTCAAGCCCCACGACCAACAAAAAAAAGTTGAAAAGTATAAGAGTGCCCCTCCACTCCTCCTGCTCCTTAGCTCCTGTTTACAAGACACTAGATCCTGGTTGCTATGCTGGCTCAGTGTGTTGAATAGCTATTATTTAACTATGTTTGTCATTGCTTTTTCTTTCTTTTCTTTCCTTTTTTTTTTTTTTGTTGGTCGTGGGGCTTGAACTCTGGGCCTGGGCGCTGTCCCTCAGCTCTTCAGCTCAAGGCGAGCGCTCTACCATTTGAGCCACTGCTCTACTTCCAGCTTTTTCTGCTTATGTGGTGCTGAGGAATTGAACCCAGGGCCTCATTCATGCAAGGCAAGCACTCTACCACTGAGCAATATTCCCAGTCCTACTTCTGGCTTTTTGATGGTTAATTGGAGAAAAGAGTCACACTGATTTGTCTATCCTCCCTGACTTTAAACTTTGACCTTCAGATCTCAGCTCCCTAAGTACCTAGGTTTATAGGCCTGAGTAGCTGGAGTGTGGCTTACATTTTTAATTTTTTTAAGGGGGATATTAAACCATATTTGCACAGACTTGCTTGATTTCATATGGAAAGAAAAATGCAGGGTACAGAAGAGATAAGAAAATTTGCACAGGGGAAATTGTGGCCAGAATGCCCTTAGGGGTAGGAAGCCAAGAAGAGGAGGATATAGTGAAGTTCAAGGGCTGTATTTGGTGGTACTATGGTTTGTTTTTGTGCTGTTCCTAGGACTTGAACTCTAGGCCTGTCCCTGAGCTTTTGTGCTCAAGTCTAGAGCTGTTTGAGCCACAGCCCTACTTCTTTTTGGTGGCTAATTGGGGGATAAGAATTTCAGAGACTTTCCTGCCCCAGCTAATTCTCAGATCTCAACCTCCTGAGTAGCTAGGATCACAGGTGTGAGTCATGCGTGCCCGGCTAGGTAAGGTACCTTTTGTCAGATCCTGACAGGCTAAGGAACAGCCTAGTTCTGAGTGTTCACTTTCCTCCCTCAGAAATGGGCACCTGTGTGGGCACTGCTCTTACTTTGGGATACCCACTAGCTCCTCATCTTTGAGGACAAAACTAAAAGCAAGTGAGTCAGGACACCTCTCCCCAGGTCTCCTGGCTTTCCACCAACCTTTGGCCTTCTCATTTCTGCACCAGGATAGGCCCTCGTGCCTCTGCTCTGTAGGGAGGAGGAGGGACTCGAGCTTGCACCTCTAGTTGGGCGGTTGTCCCAGTTGCGCCTGCGCACACGGGCTCCCCCACCTTCCCCTCGCTTTTCCTTGGAGGCGGCGCACCGAGCTCGTTCTCCCGCGCTCCTCCTCGTGCGCGCGCGCGCGCGCGCGCGCTCTCTCTCTCGAGCTGCGCCTGCGCAGAGGGAAGAGGAAGCGGGTGCCCTGGGCGGCCTCTGCGCCTGCGCGCTGCGGGCTCCGGGGCCTCCCGGCCTGAGGGAGAGGAGCCGGGAAGATGGCGGCTGTGGTGGAGAATGTAGTGAAGCTGTGAGTGGTCGTTTCTTTCTCTCCCACGCCGGAAGGTCTTGTTAGGGGGCCCCGGGACTAGAGGACGGTGCGAGAAGAGATAAATCGGAGACGGCCGAGAAGTTGGTGTTGCGACTCCTAGAGGGCAGGGCAGCCCCGGAGACTCCCGGGAAGACGTTGCGCTTCTTTGGAAACTTGTGGCGGCCCTGAGGGGGGCCCGCGGGGGCCCGGGACGGGCGGCCTCCCTGCGGGGCTGAGCGGCGAGTGCGGGGCCCTGCGACCCGCGGGAGACTCACGATCCGCAGCCCTCTGCCGAGACGCGGGGGTCCCGAGGAGCGCGGGCCGGGGCCCCGGCGACCCCCAGGAGGTGCCCGGGCGCCGCCCCCCTCGGCCGGCCCCCGAGCGCCTCCCTCGGACGGCCCCTGCGGGGTAGCCCTGAAAAACTTCCCCACGACGCTTGGAGATGGGGGGAGCTTGGGTAGCAGATACCCCAAGACGAAGCGTATCCTTGGGAAGACTTGGAATAACTTCTGGGGATGGGGGGGGGGTGTCTTTGCGCCATCCCAAGCCGGACCCAAAGTAGTCCCAGACACGACTTACCAGCCTACAGGAGGCGGCCTCGGGGGATCGGGGGGGGGGAGCATTCTCGACACTGTGGATGGACCCCATTGTGCTGGTCAGATTTCGAGCAAAGTTAAAGTTAACGGTGGTTGAGGACAAGTGGACTGACCTATGGCTGCTTCCTGTGAGTCAAAGGACACTTGGATGTGTGGGGATTGATGTAGTTCGCCTCCTCCCTCCTCGAAACGGAAGCCCTGCGAGGTGTTGGTGTGCTTTTTGTTGGTTTTGGTTGCTGGCAACTAGGGTTTGAACTCAGGGCCTCACACTCTTCTTGCTGTTTTTTTTCCGCGCAAGGCTGGTGCTCTACCGTTTGAGCCACACCTCCACTTTGCCAAGTGAAATGGGTTGGTTAATGCCCCGCCGAGGGGAGCGAGCTCTTTTTAATGGCTATATGGGACTTAATGCAAAGGTTGGAAAACTTGGTGTCTAGCGAACAAGACTTTGACGAAATGCCGAGTGAAAGGTTTGGGAACCATTCTAAGGAACTGTCACAGCCTAATGTGTCTTTGTTGTGGACTGAGCCCTATTTTTCCCAAGAGCCTTTCTTCTCCTTCTTTCTAAGGTTAAGTTGCTTCTTCCCCCTGCCTGGAGCCTTTTTCTTCAAGAATGCTTTCCCACTTCCATTAAGCTAAGTGCCTGCTTCTCTTGTGGCTTTATTATTTTTTTTTCCTCTGCTTGCTATTTGCTGTATCCTGCTGCTGCTTTCAACTACCCCTCCTCCCAACTCTATTATCTTCCTCTCTGATCTGCCCACTCCAGATTCCCCAGCTCTTCAAGCTGACATTTTCCTCAATATAGAAATGACGCTGTTGATCTACCATTTTTATAGTTATCTTTCCTGACTCAGATGTTCCTCCTTTTGTTTTCCTGCCTTTCTCTTTGTTGACTCCCTATCCTATTGTAAGGGGAGATTTGACACAGGTTTCATGGTTGGGGGGTGAAGGGCGGTGTAGAAAAGAAATCTTGTATCCAGGAAATCTAACTGTAGTAACAGTGTCAGAGTTGCCCAGGTTTTGCCAGTTACATGTAATGCACTTTTTGTTGAAACACTTTCTACCCTTTGGATCTCTTTTTGCCTGGAAAGAGATTCTTTATCCTGTGTTTCTCTGGAGTCTAATGCCTGAGTCTTCTGACAGTTGAGGTACTGCATTAGGGTCAAGAAGGACTACTATCTCTTTTCTGACTTGGCCATTTCTTGTACTGGAAGAAGGATTTTCCTGTTTGTCAGTTCTCTGCCTCTCCCAAAAGTGATGTCAGAATTGAAACAGTCTTTAAGGGGACTTACTAGGGTAATAAACTACTATAAAATGCTGACTAGTTTGGAAAAGTTTTTGAGTTAGGTGACAAGATTGGGGGAGGAGGTAGGTTAACTTGAAATTTCTTGCTACAGGAGCCTTAACTTCACCAGAGTGATTTCTTGTTCTCTCATCAAATCCTCCTCTCTATAGTTCTAAGTTTTTGTTCTTAGTCCTCTTAACCAACAAAATCCTTATCCTGCCTTCTGAAATCTCACCTAAAAGAGCTCTGACAGGACACCCATCCTTTCCAGCAAGTCGTTGACAACTGCCTTGCTCTTACTTGGTAGCCTTCAGCGGGCCTGGGCTGGCCCTCCCACATTTGACTCCCAGTGTCAGTATCAATTCCCATCAGCAGAAACAAAGGAGCTGCTGCACTTGTTTATCCAATTTTCCTCTGTGTGGTAAGGTCGTGGCTGCCTCCTAAAGGCAAGCAAATGTGAGCCTGATCTCTTCTGCTCTTTGCTCTCCAACACAAGATTCATGCCTACCTCAAATTACAGTCATTACAGCTCATTGAATCAAGCCAGGCTGTACTCCAGTTGCCGACTCTTGTGTATGGTGTGTGCTGGGAACAAAGCTAAGCTATGCAGTGTTCTGTTCTGGCTGCGCTGTGAAAGCCCCCATTGGAGCAGAGTTTGTTGGTGTAGCTCATATTGTGGGCATAAGGTGGAGGCCTACTTTCAAACCCACTGTCAAGCCTGGGCGCGTGCACTTGTTCTCCTGTCTCGTTCTCGTTCTCCTGTGTTCTCTGTCTCTCTCATCCTGGCATGTTAGAGCTCACCTCCTCTAGCCTCCCTAATCTATAGAAAAGGAACAGAGGTTGATTAAAGGTCCATGTTTATGGGGTGACTTTGCAGCCAAATCAGTCTTTTTATCCCCAAGTCCAGTCTGGTGTATCCCAGACATGCTTATGGGTTATGAGGAGACTATGGGAAATAAATCACCTCTGCTCTCAGTGTGTCCATTTTAAGGCTGATTAAATTTTGAGCTGGAGTGTGGCTCAGTGTTTGAGTATATGCCTAGCATGTGAGAAGTCCTGGGCTCAATCTTCAGAACAACAGTAAGATTGGTTGCATATAAATATGAGTTGTCCTACCCTCTATTACCAAAGTGCTTGTCAAACTCTGAAGAACAAGGACAGGTTGGCTCTTTGTACATGTTTTGCCTTTTGGTCCTTGCAGTTTTTTAGCTTTTTAAAATACATAGAGCCAAGCTGGGTGCTGATGGCTCACACCTATAATCCTAGCTACTCAGAAGGCTGAGATCTGAGGATCGTGGTTTGAAGCTAGCCCAGGCAGGAAAGGCCGTGAGTTTATCTCCAATAAAGTACTCAGAAAAAGCTAGAAGTGATGCTGTGTCTCAAGTGGAAGAGGGCCAGCTTGAGCAAAAGAAGCTCAAGGACAGTGCCCAGGACATGAGTTCAAGCCCCAGGACTGGCAAAACAGAAAAACAAAGCCAGGTGCCAGTGGCTCATGCCTGTAATCCTAACTACTCAGGAGGCTGATATATGAGGATTGAAGTTCTAAGCCAGCCTGCGCAGAAAGGTTTGAGACTCTTCAGTTAACTGGCAAAAAAAAACCCAGAACTAGAGCAGTGATAGAGCAATAATAGCCTTGAGCAAAAAAGTTCAGGGACATCACCCAGGCTCCAGGATTTGCACACGCATGTACATGGCCTATGCCCACACTCAAGCTAGAAATGAGCTGGGTGCCAGTAGCCCAGGTCTGTAATCCTAGCTACTAAGGAGGCTGAGATCTGAGGATCATGGTTCAAAGCCAGCCTAGGCAAGAATGTCCATGAGACTCTTATCTCCAATTAATCACCAGAAAACCAGAAGTGGTGCTGTGGCTCAAGTGGTAGAGCTCTAGCCTTGAGCTGAAGAGCTGAGGGACAGCGCCCAGACCCAGAGTTCAAGCCCCACAGCCAACAACAAAAAGTTAGAAATGAAATGTGGCTCAAATGTTAGAATGCCAGCCTTGAGCAAAAAAGCCATGCAAAAGCTAGAGGCCTGAAGTTCAAGCCCTACTATAGGCACACACACACAATTCCTAAGTTTTTAACCTTACTTTGTATTTCAAATGGAGTCGTTAGAGGGTGGGAGTTGAATTTGGAGTTAAATTTTCTGGGCCAATGCTTTACTACTTGAGCGTACATCCCCAGACCTTTTGCTTTTAGTTTTTATTTTTTTAGATTGGGTCCCTGAGTGTGGTTGGTTGGTTTGTTTGGCCTGGTCAGGCCTCAGAATTCAAACCTCCTACCTCCACCTCCCCATTTTTTTGAGATAGAGTCTCATTATGTGACCCAGACTGGCCTCCCCAGTGCTGGGATTAAAGGTGTGGGCCACTATACAAACTGAGTCTTTTGACTAGTTTCTTGTTAGTAAGGTGCTTTATAAAAGCCTTGAGGAATTCTAAGGTTCTCTCCCTCAAGGCCAATGTGCTTTTAACCACTTCTTGGTTAAACAATGTTAGCATCTTATGACACCGCAACACCGCCCACCTGCCCCCCTTTCCCCTCTCCCCCTCTCTCCCTTTCTGTCTGTTTTTCTCTTTCTTTTTTCCTTCTTTCTTTCCCTAACTATCTTAGAAATTGTTTCTAAGAGCTTTCTCTTTTTCCTTTTTTTAATTTTTTTAATTTTAATTTATTTATTTTTGGGTCTGGTTGTGGGGCCTGAACTCTGGGCCTGGGCGCTGTCCCTCAGCTCTTCAGCTCAAGGCTAGTGCTCTACCACTTGAGCTACAACGCCACTTCCGGCTTTTTTCTTTTTGCTTATGTGGTGCTGAGGAATCGAACCCAGGGCCTCAGGCTTGCAAGACAAGCGCTCTACCACTGAGCCACCTTCCCAGCCTTGAGCAAAAGAAGCTCTGGGAGCTGGGCGCCAGTGGCTCACACCTGTAATCCTAGCTACTCAGGAGGCTGAGATCTGAGGATCGCAGTTCAGAGCCAGCCCGGGCAGGAAAGACTGTGAGACTCCTATCTCCAATAAACCACTAGAAAACTGGAAGTAGTGCTGTAGCTTAAGTAGTAGAGCGCTCGCCTTGAGCTGAAGAGCTGAGTGCCCAAGCCCAGAGTTCAAGCCCCACGACTGACAAAAGAAAAAAAAAAAAAGCAGCTCTGGGACAGTGCCCAGGCCCTGAATTCAAATCCTAGAACTGGCAAAAAAACAAAAGGTCTTGTGGACTTTCCACTGACTAGCTTTGAACGTGATCCTCAGATCTCAGCCTCCTGAGTGGCTAGGATTACAGGTGTGAGCCATTGGTACCTGGCTTGCTTTGTGTGTGTGTGTGTGTTTTGTTTGTTTTGTTGTTTTGCCAGTCCTGGGGCTTGAGCTCAGGATCTGGGCACTGACCCTGAGCTCTTTTATGCAAGGCTAGCACTCTACCAATTTTTTTTTAATGGATATTTTTTCCTTCCCCCGCCCCCCCACCGAATCAGAGTTTGAACTCAGAACCTTGTGCTCTCATTCACTGGTTGGCACTCTACAATTGGAGACATACCTCTAACCACCTAAATAACATGTCCTTCAATAAGCTTTTTTTTTTTTTTAATTTTATTTATTTATTTTTATTTATTTTTTGTCAATTGTAGGGCCTGAACTCTGGGCCTGGGCACTGTCCCTCAGCTCTTTAGCTCAAGGCTAGCACTCTACCACTTGAGCCATAGTGCTACTTCCTGCTTTTTCTGCTTATGTGGTGCTGAGGAATTGAACCCAGTAACTCATGTATGCAAGGCAAGCACTCTACCACTGAGCCACCTTCCCAGCCCCTCAATAAGCTTTTATAGTTTGCTAAAAAAAACCTTTTAATAAGCTCCTTAGACTTTGATGAACTCTTTTTCCCTGTTTATAAGAGAGGCTAAGAAAAGTAACATCTTAACTAGTACAGAGCTAGACATATGAGAAACAAGGAATAAGCATTCATTTCGACTGGAGCTCAGGACCTGACACAAGCAAATGCTACACTGTTACGCTGCCTCCCATCAGCTTGTCTGATGAAATTATGTGTTCTTCACGGTAATTTATTTGTGAAGTACCTTTCCTCATGCTGGCTTAGTGGAGGGGCTTTGTGTCCCATGAGGCAGAAGTAGAGGCAAATGTAACCCTTAGATCTGATTTCCCAGTCCCCTGGGCCCTTTGGAGAAGCAGTTGACAGGGGAGCAGGATATTTTGGCACCTTGCATCCTTGCTTTTTATCTACCCTGCAGCCTTGGGGAGCAATACTACAAAGATGCCATGGAGCAGTGCCACAATTACAACGCCCGCCTGTGTGCCGAGCGCAGCGTGCGCTTGCCTTTCCTGGACTCTCAGACTGGAGTAGCCCAGAGCAACTGTTACATCTGGATGGAAAAGCGACACCGTGGTCCAGGTGAGGTCACAGTCTCAGGGACACAAGGAGAATTTTCCCCCCTGCTCCTACCTGTGGATGAATATGGTCGTCATCGTTCCCTACCCCCCACCCCTCATGGGTAGGATGAAGCTGACAGGTTCATACCTTCACCTCGGCTTCCCCCCCCCCTCAGTGGAGGCCATGATTGAGCTTCTGAAGGGCTGTGTCAATAGCCTAAGCTTATACTCATTCCCCCCGCCCCCCCCCCCCCCCCCCCATGCAGAATCTTACCCAATCCTCAGGCTCACACTGTCAGCATTCTTTCCTTGCTCTGGAACTCAGGGGAGCTACTTAGCTCAAAAGTGTGTAATATCATTTTCTAGTATTGGGTTAGGGTTTAACTGCTCACTCGGACTTCCACAGGATTGGCCTCTGGACAGCTATATTCCTACCCTGCCCGGCGCTGGCGAAAAAAGCGACGAGCCCACCCACCTGAAGATCCCCGGCTTTCCTTCCCATCTATTAAACCAGGTAAGGGGCACCCTGCTTGAGCAGGGGCGTAGCCCACTGCATGGCAACAGATCCGTTTCCCATCCACTAGTGCTAGGCCCTGTGCTAGTTCCTGTAAAAACAAAAGTCAAAAATGAATCAGGGCTGGGTGCCAGTGGCTCATTCCTATAATCCTAACAACCTAGGAGGCTGAGATCTGAGGATTGTGGTTCAAAGCCAGGCCAGGCAGAAAAGTCTGAGATCCTCATCTCCAATTAGCCACCAGAAAGCTGGAAGCAGAGCTCTGGTTCAAGTGGTAGAGCACTAGGCTTGAGCACAGGCTTAGGGACAGCACCCAGGCCCTAAATTCAAGCCCCAACACGAGCACAGGAAAAAACAAAAACAAAACAAAAATATATATATATAATTTCTTTCTTACCTTAGAGAATTCAGCTTATCAGAGTCAACAGGTAAAGAGCTATGTTCTAGTGTTAAGTGAACTAGGGTGTCTTGATTCCTGGAGAGCTCAACAACAGAAAACAGTAGCACACTGGTTGACTGCCTTTAAAAAAATTTTTTTTAGTGGTATTGGAGTTTGAATTCAGGGCTTGTTCTCACTCAGCTTGCTAGCTCACTCTGCTGGCATTGTAAAATGGGGCCATGATACCAGCCCTGCTTTTGGCTGTCTTTTTTTTTTTTAATTTTTTGTTTTATGTGGTACTGAGGAATTGAACCCAGGACCTCATACATGCTAGGCAAGCACTCTGGCACTAAGCCACATTCCCAACCCCTTTGCTGGATATTTTGAAGATGGAATCTCAAGAATTTTCCGCCCAGACTCACTTCAAACTGTGATCCTCTGGATCTCAGCCTCCTGAGTAGCTGAGATTACAAATGTGAACCATCAGCTCCTCGCTGACTGGTTGACTCTTGCAGTATGTCCACTCAAAGCTTTAGCCCCTCTGAGCCTTGTTTTGTCCTGACTCTTGCAGACACAGACCAGACCCTGAAGAAGGAGGGGCTCATCTCTCAGGATGGCAGCAGTTTAGAGGCTCTGTTGCGCACCGACCCCCTGGAGAAGCGAGGTGCCCCGGATCCCCGAGTTGATGATGACAGCCTGGGAGAGTTTCCTGTGACCAATAGTCGAGCACGGAAGGTATAAGACTATCCCCATGGCTGAAGGAGCATTGCAGGAGACCAGGCTCTTCAGGAGGGGCCACCCCTTAGCAAGTCTGAAGTAGATCAGTGATGGAATGTCTGGCGTGACTGAGGCCTTGAATCCAATCCTTAGGACCACCAAAAAGAACAGAAGCAGAAGCTGAGGTTTCCTCTATAGCTGATAAACTTCTCTCCTGTCACTACCCTGTCCTGCTGCTTTCCTTCTAAAGATAGGCTCTCATTCATTCATCCTCTTTTTCACAAAAGTTTTTGTTATAAAGTTTTTTAGTGGGCTGGGGAGGTGGCTCAGTGGTAGAGCGCTTGCCTTGTATGCATGAGGCCCTGGGTTCGATTCCTCAGCACCACATAGGCAGAAAAAGCCAGAAGTGGCGTTGTGGCTCTAGTGGTAGAGTGCTAGCCTTGAGCTAAAGAGCTGAGGGACAGCGCCCAAGCCCAGAGTTCAGGCCCCACAACTGACAAAAGAAAAAAAAAGTTTTTTAGTACCTGGAGATCCACAGGTAAAACAGCCTCATCTCTGCCAACTGGGAAACCAACACTACATTTAAAACTAAGAAAATCAGCCAGGTGCTGGTGGCTTACACCTGTAATCCTAGTTACTCAGGAGGCTGAGAGCTGAGGGTCATGGTTCAAAGCCAGCCCAGGCAGGAAAGTCTATGAGACTCTAATCTCAGTTAACCACCAGAAAACCACAAGTGGTACTGTGACTCAAGCTTTGAGTGGAAAAAACTCAAGGACAGTGCCCAGGCCCTGAGTTCAAACCCCACGACTGATCAAAAAATAAAAAAAAAGATATTCCAGGCACCATGCTAAGTTCTTTTCCATGCATTACCTCTGTTAGCTTATACAGGGTCTTATGGGGTAGGCTTCATGGTCCCCATTTCACAGGAAGACTGGAGCAGAGCCATTTTAAAACTTCCCAGAAGGGCCAGACGTCCGTGGCTCACTCCTGTAATCCTAGCTGAGATCTGAGGATCAAGGTTCAAAGCCAGCCTGGGCAAGGAAAGTCTGTGAGACTCTTATCTCCAGTTAGCTACCAGAAAACCAGAAATGGGGCTATGGCTCAAGTGGTAAAGTACTACTAGTCTTGAGCTGAAGAGCTGAGGAACAGCACCCTGGCCAAGAGTTCAAGCCCCATGACCGGAAAACAAAAACAAAAAACACTTCCCATAAGGTCACACAATAAGCACCAAGTCTGTCATTTAACTAGGACATGTTAGAAAGGGACTACTGACTATAATTTTTCAGAGAGGCCAGTCCAACAGGGTGGAGCAGAGCATTTGACTAGATCACTTAAGAGATCAGGGGCGGGGGAGGTATTCTAGGCCAAGGGAACAGCACAAAGAGGCACAGAGGAACAGAAGCATTGAAGGGAACAGGACTTTGATTGTAGGGTGAGGAATGAGGGTGGGACCAGGTCCCAGAGGAGAGGAGGTTCTGGGTGGCCTTGGCCAATTCTGTCATACAAAGCTTTTAGGTGACATGATTTCTATTCATTCTGATCTGTCTGTCCACTCAGCGGATTCTTGAGCCCGATGACTTCCTGGATGACCTTGATGATGAGGACTATGAAGAGGATACCCCCAAGCGCCGGGGCAAGGGGAAGTCCAAGGTGAAGGGCCAGCATGTTGCTGGCAGTGCACGGCAGGGTGGTCCAGGGAGGCTCATGATTTCCTCTGGTTCCCTTTCTTCCTGTCAAATGAGATTAGCTGCTGCTCAGGAGAGTGTCACTCCTGGGGTCCTGCACTTTAGTGAAGGCATCTTTGTACTCTTCTTGGCGCAGGGTAAGGGTGTGGGCAGTGCCCGGAAGAAGCTGGATGCTTCCATCCTGGAGGACCGGGACAAGCCGTATGCCTGTGACAGTGAGTGCCTCGCTAGTGGGTGGGTAGTCTTTGCCTTGGACCCAGCTCCTGCTCTGGATGTGAGAGGAGGGAGGGTTGTGTTCTTGCCCTGAGTGCTGAAACGAGCCTGTGATCTTGATCTGCCTGCTGACTAGTTCCCTCCAAGAACCCTGGGCGGCCCAGGCTTCTGCTCCATGACCGGTGGGACCTGCATGCTCTGGGAGAGATTCCTCTGACCCCTGGGGTGAGGGAGTGGGAGGTTTCTCAGCAGGCAGGGTTGGCCTCTCCGGGGGCAGTGTCCAGGTCTGCTGGCCCAATGAGCTGGGGCACAGGGGGTCGGCCCTGAGGTTTTCAGTGTCTGTTCTCTTTCCCTTTGCTTTGGCTCACCCTCCTTCCGTGCCTCCACCCCGGAGCTCCGTCGCTGCTGGGGTTCTCTGTCGCTCGCTTGCTCCGCTTTCCTGTTGCCGCTGCCCTTGTCTCCAGTGTGTCAAGGCCTCCTTCTCATGACTTTTCTTTCTGTCTTTCAGATAGTTTCAAACAAAAGCATACCTCGAAAGCGCCCCAGAGAGGTAGCTCTCTCAACTTTTCAGACTTTTGGTTTTCCTATCCCTTTTCCCTCTTCCCTTGTTCCTCCGCCTTCCTCATCTCCTGTGATGCTAGTCTTGAAGTCTCTGGAATGGCATGGGGGCAGAACTTGCTGAACGGTGGTTGTGTTTCACGCCCCAGAGTCCCAGCAGCTGCCTTCACTGCTTCTCTCCCTCACGCTTACTCCTAGGCCACTTAGCCTCATGCATGGGGTAGCTCCAAAAGCATTATGAGGAACCCACTATGAACAGATCCATTGCTCCCCTCCCATGCACAGCCACTTGGTGGTCAGCTAACGTCCCCACCATCCTTCCACCTCCTCCCAGCCTCCTCATTCCTTCCTTTTGGCCCCCTTGCCCTTATTGTCACCACTCAAGATTACAGACTGGGGCTGGGAATGTGGCTTAGTGGTAGAGTGCTTGCCTAGCATGCATGAAGCTCTGAGTTCAATTCCTTAGTACCACATAAACAGAAAATGCCGGAAGTGGCGCTGTGGCTCAAGTGGTAAGAGTGCTAGCCTTGAGCAAAAGAAGCTTAGGGGCAGTGCCCAGGCCCTGAGTTCAAGGCCAAGGACTGGCCAAAAAAAAAAAAAAAGATTACAAACTGCCTTGCTGGAATCAGCTTTTCTTGCTGGGCAGGCACAGTTGTGGCTCCTTTGGGAGCCAACTGCTCTCTGCTCATTTGGTAGGTAGTCACCAAGAAAGCCAGCCTGAGCCCTTTGTCCACTCAGCAGGGCCGGGCTTTGTGTTGTGTGCAGGGCCACATGAGCCTCCCGCATTCACTGACTTTGAGGTCTCTTTTTTACTTTTCCCCTTCCTGCCGTAGAGAAAACCATAGACTTTTCCTGACTGGAGTTCCTCAGACTCTTACCATTTCCAGGGCAAGTGGTAATGCAACGAAGGCTGAGCCCCACTAGACGCTCAGTTCAGAAAAGCATAGTGCTGTGGGGTGCTCCTGGCTAAAGAGAAGGGAAGGGATCATCACTAGGATTCTCCCCAGAACAAGGCTGCTGGAGGAATGGGGGGCTTTGGGTGGGGCCTCACAGCTTGGAGGGGTGGGGACGTAGCTTCCTTATAGCTTGACACCTCTCTCTGCAATCTTCTCCAACCAGTTTGTGGAAAACGCTATAAGAACCGACCCGGCCTCAGTTACCACTATGCCCACTCCCACCTGGCTGAGGAAGAGGGCGAGGACAAGGAAGACTCCCAGCCACCCACCCCCGTTTCCCAGAGGTCTGAGGAGCAGAAATGTAAGCTGAGGTGTTGGGAGTGGGCGAGCAGGCAAGGAGCTGGTCTTGCAGTAAAAGCCCTTCCTTGCAGGAATGTTAACGACCCAGGCACGGACCACCCTCAGGAGCATCATCAAAGCTCTCTTTCTTCCCTATAGCCAAGAAGGGTCCTGATGGATTGGCCTTGCCCAATAACTACTGCGACTTCTGCCTGGGGGACTCAAAGATCAACAAGAAGACAGGACAGCCCGAAGAGCTGGTGTCCTGTTCTGACTGTGGCCGCTCAGGTACCCCCAGAGTACCTACCCCCAGAGAGGACTGCCCCAGCGTCAGGTCCCGAGGGACTCGTGGCTCACTGACTTCAGCACCATCCTAGACAGCTCATCTTGGACATTCGCAACACCTCTGCTTCATCTTACAGCCTCGGTTCTCTTGCTTCCAACAGGGCATCCTTCCTGCCTCCAGTTCACCCCTGTGATGATGGCAGCTGTGAAAACCTACCGTTGGCAGTGCATCGAGTGCAAGTGCTGCAACCTCTGCGGCACCTCGGAGAACGACGTGGGTGTCCTGCTCGCCCCAGCTGGCTCCCCCACACCCCCCCAAGCTCCTCCCTCGTCCCCCCTCCCCACCATCGCCCCAGCTGGCTCCCCCACACCCCGCCCAAGCTTCTCCCTTGCCCCCCTCCCCACCATCCCCCTGGAAACTCCAGTTTCTTGAGCACCAACTTTAGGTCACACTCAGTTTTAGGTTCTAATGAGACCACACGAGACAAAGTCCCTGCATTCTGTGGATAACAGCAGTAAGCAAGGAAGGGAGAACTTACTGTGTGCCTTGGAGCAAATAAGACCAGTGATGTACAAATGAGTGGATACTGGTTTAGAGGCATAGTCAGATGGACTTTTTTAGCAGAGGGGAGGTTGATGCTGAAATTTGCAAAATACTGAGACATCCCAGAAGTTCTGGAGGGAGAGCAAGAAAGAAAGGAGCAGGGGGCTGGGAAGGTGGCTCAGTGGTAGAGCACTTGTCTTGCATGTCTGAGGCCCTGGGTTCGATTCCCCAGCACCACATAAGCAAAAAGAAAAAAAGCCGGAAGTGGTGCTGTGGCTCAAGTGGTAGAGCGCTAGACTTGAGCTGAAGAGCTGAGGGACAGCGCCCAGGCCCAGAGTTCAGGCCCCACCACCGGACCAAAAAAAAAGAAAGAAAGGAGCAGCTGTGTCGTGCACGGCTTCTAGGCTGGCTGGTGCAGACTCCTTAAGGTGGATGAGCCACATGTACTAAGAAGGCCAGTGTGGCAGACTGAAGCCTGCCCTTTGTGTAGGAATAGAGCTGGGGGAGATGGATCAGAGAGGTAGGTACCAGCAGTTCTGTGGGGCCTCAGGGTTGACCCCAGAGACTTGGAAAGGCTAAGTGTGTGCTCTGCCACTGAGCTTACACCCCCAATGCCTGGGCCTCAAGTTCTAAATATAGTGGGATGCTGCTGGAGGCTTATAATGAGGGACTGATCTATCACTTGAGCTGCAGCTTTACTTCTGTATTTTTTGGTGATTCATTGGAGATAAGAGTCTCAGCTGGCTTCAAGCTGTGATCCTCATCTCAGCCTTCTGACTAGCTGGAATTACAGGTGTGATCCTGGCCTATCAAGTTTTTTTTTATTTTTATTTTATTTATTTTATTTTTTTTTTTGGGTCCAGTCGTGGGGTCTGAACTCTGGGCTTGGGCGCTATCCCTCAGCTGTTCAGCTCAAGGCTAGCACTCTACCACTTGAGCCACAGCGCCACTTCCGGCTTTTTTCTTTTTGCTTATGTGGTGCTGAGGAATCGAACCCAGGGCCTCAGGCATGCAAGGCAAGCGCTCTACCACTGAGCCACCTTCCCAGCCCTCAAGTTTTTTTTTTTTAAGGCAACTTTGGCTGATTTATAGAGAAGAGATTGTTGGCAAAGAGGAGGCCATGTAATTACTTAGGAGCTCTGATAGGACTCAAATGGGGGATGCTAGTGACTTGGTCTGAGTAGAGTCCAGTATCATCTTCCCTGTTAGCTATTCTTTTTGGCAGCAATATTCTTGGAAGCCTTCCCCCTGTAGGTAGCCCGAGGCTCCTAAATCATTGGCCCCCTCTTCTTCTTCCTTTGTGCTTCTCTAGGACCAGCTGCTCTTCTGTGATGACTGCGACCGTGGCTACCACATGTACTGTCTTACCCCATCCATGTCTGAGCCTCCTGAAGGTATGTGGCTGAGAACAATCAATTCATCCATTACTCAGGATTATAATCAGTTACTCAGAACAATCAATTTGTCAGTAAAATCACCTACCTAGTAAATTCTGAATTGCCATTTACTCTTCCAAAGTAGAGTAAAGCACCTTGCCTTGCCTCAGTTTGGGATACTTTTCTAATATTTCAACCTGAAGGGCTTAATGTTTGCACATTGTCTTCAGTAACAAATTAATACTCCAGGAGTTAACAGATGTTGAGCAGAAGAAAGTCACTCAGAAGGAGAGAGCTGTTTCCCTCCAGTTAGTATAAAAATTGAATTGTCGCCGGGCGCCAGTGGCTCATGCCTGTAATCCTAGCTACTCAGGAGGCTGAGATTTGAGGATCACAGTTCAAAGCCAACCCAGGCAGGAAAGTCCATGAGACTCTTATCTCCAATAAAGCAATAGAAAACCGGAAGTGGTGCTGTGGCTCAAGCAGTAGAGCATTTGCCTTGAGCTGAAGACCTGAGGGATAGCGCCCAGGCCCAGAGTTCAAGCCCCACAACCGACAGAAAAGAAAAGAAAATTGAATTGTCACTTTGCCTGATACAACATTGCTCTTTCAGCTTTCCTAACTTGATAGATTTGAGTATTTGTTTCTTCTACCTTCCCTTTTCCAGTATGGAAGAGAGTTGTTTCTGGACAGATGTTTCTGCATCTGCAGTAGTTTATTTATTTATTTATTTATTTTGGTCAGTCTTGGGAGCTAAACTCCAGGCCTGGGCGCTGTCCTTCAGCTCAAGGCTAGCACTTTACCACTTAAGCCTCAGTGCCACTTCCAGCTTTTTTCTGCTTATATGGTGCTGAGGAATTGAGCCCAGGGTCTCATGTATGTGAGGCAACACTCTACCACTGAACCAACTTCCCAGCCCCCCTGCAGTAGTTTATTTTGTTTTTTGTTTTTGTTTTTTGGGGCCCAGTCATGGAGCCTAAACTCTGGGCCTGGGCGCTATCCCTCAGCTCTTCAGCTCAAGGCTAGTGCACTACCACTTGAGCCATAGCACCACTACCGGCTTTTTTTTTTTTCTGATTATGTGGTGCTGAGGAATCGAACCCAGGGCCTCATGCATGCAAGGCAAGCGCTTTACCACTGACCCACCTTCCCAGCCCAGTAGTTTACTTTAA